ATGATTATATATAGATTATATAGATTCAATATATGTATGAAGTTTCAAAGTTTGAAAATATATAATTATGATATGGGATGATTTTTACATAGACGAAGGAGCTTCATTATGTTTAAAAGTTAATAAGAATTAAACGGCTATAAACGGTATATTTCCAATCGGAATAAAATTATCTTTAACTTCTTAGTTCTTTTTTATTCTCCCCTCCATGTCTATTTCCCTAGTTATTTGGGGTCGGCGCAATAAGTCTACCACCTCCATTCTCCCCTATTACTCGTTATCTCATCATTCACCCCTTTCTCTTTCATGACCTGTCTCACAAAATCTATTCATCTTTTCTTCGGTCTTCCTCTATCTTTCTAACAATCTACTTTCTTTTCCATCACTCTTCTCGTTATATATGTTTCATATCTCCTTCTTCCTTCTCTGTCACTGGTGCTAATTTTAAGCTTCCTCTTATGTACTCATTCCTTATTTTATTTAATCTCGTCACTCCACACATCCTTCTTTACATTCTCATCTCTGCAGCATGTCAGTTCTTATTTTTATTAACAACTAATAAAAGTTTGTTTTAAAAAATAGTTTATTTGTGAAGTATACATATACACGTACAATAGCAATGACAACTAAGCTGTATTAAATATAATCAACTATATATTTCTATTATGAAGTAATCTCGAATGAGAGGTATAGAAGGTTGTACTTCCGTGAGTGCACGATGCGGCAACATTTATGCCTTTACTACTAGTCTATAACTCATTTTTTAATTGTGGATATATTAAATACTACTGTCATATATAATTTTAATATATATGTAAGCTTTTATTGTTATTAATTTTTTACTAGATATATTAAAATTCTTTTGGATTACATTAAAAAAACATTAAAGAAACTTATCTGGAAGCGCGGCAGTGTTCCCCCCAAGTTGATCAAAACAAAGGGATATAATAGTTGTTAGAATGGTATAGACAGTAATTCAAAAAATATTACTGTGGATGACAATTTGATATTAATTTTTTACTAAAATATCTTATTGTAATAATAATATGTAATTTTAAATTATTTACAAAATAATTTAGTTTCAACAAAACAAATTAATAATGGTTTAGATAGTATTTATTTTGACATTTTTTTAACTTGGAGCGTAGGTACCTTTTTAGTTTGTTTTTTGATATTTCCTACTAGATCTCCGTGTGGTCGAGAAAATATAGTATTAACGATTACGAAATACCTCGAACATGAACCCATACATTGCCATCCTCGTCACGCAACCAATAATATTATTGCACAATATCACTGTACTTGTTGATTTAAATATAGCATTCTAGTAAATATACTACTAATATACGTGTTTGCTTAACTGTAGTTCGGGGATTCGATTTCCAGTTGTAGCATTTTTTTTGTTTTCTATTAGTCGTTCTTTATTTCATATTATTATTCACTTTGTAAATGAAATTAATCACGTAAATAGTTACAAAATTAAAAAGTTTTGTTACATGTGGCAGATTTTCGAGACTTTGCTAGATACATCGATGCCTCAAGGAGCTTTCAGTTCATAAACCTAAACTAAATTATTTTTATAAGATATTTATTGGGATTCCTTTAATTCCTTACAAGAAAAAATATTTTTTTTTTACTTAAATAAATACTAATCAAAGCTTATCGATATCGTATTTATTTTTTCTAAATTTAATAATATAATGTCAATAATTAAATTGAATATTAAGCTAGATTACTTACTTATAAAATTTTAGAAGCAATAAAATGACATTTTGTATCGCTTCAAATGAAAATATATATTTGATCAAACATCGCCCAAATCATTCCAATCGTGGACTTCATCGAGGTAAAACGTGTGCTGCCTTTATCTCTGTTGCTATCTATCTCTCTTTCTCTTGCGATAGAAAAATACCTAATAAATGGAATAAAAAAGAAAAATAAAAAGTCATGCCAAAAGTCTATAAAAAGCGAAAACTAATATTGGCTTGATAAGACGTTGTAAGTAATTATAAAAACTTTAAAAAAATCCGACTTCTGGGCACTAAAATGTAAAAAATAACTAAACGGGGGTTTTAATTTAGGATAGATACTTAATCAAATATTTTCGAAGTCGGTACCAGCACATTCAAAGAAAATCTAATATATTTCGATACGTATAAAATACATCAGAAATTAATGTATAATATTTTAACTATAATTAATCATATTTACCTAATAGACATTCACATCTTAAAACGACAATAGTCGGCTGGCATCGTTTAGTTATTTTTTACATTTTAGTGCCTGGAAGTCGGTTTTGTTAAGTTTAGGCAGGTAATTTGTAAGTAGAAAGTTTTTTAATAAAATATTTGATTAAGCAATTTTTTTAAAACCGCTCGACCGATTTCGTTAAATTTAAATGGGACCATCTAGGAAGTATACATACCCTTTGAAACAAAAAGAAATCCAAATCGGTTCAGGCGTTTTCGAGTAATCAGTGAACATACATAAAAAAAAGGTTCCAACGAATTGAAAACCTCCTTTTTGGAAGTGGGTTAAAAATGAAATTGATCAACGCATAAGTAGCTTAGTAATGGTCCCCAATTTTACATGAAAAATTTCTAAATAAAACTATCTTTTCGGATTAGGTGTTACTTGTCTGTAACAACTATACCTTCAAGACATGTAACACCGCAGTCTCTCCCGTGACCATGGATGCTGTAAAGCATTCGAAACGTCGGGAACCAAAAATCAAAATAAATCCGCGAAATAATCCGAAAAGATAGCTTTATTTAAAATGTAAAATATTCGCGTAAATCTAAGAAAGTATTATGAAAAATTTGTTAGTCTTACACCTTAGAGGTGTCTTAACTTTTCGTGTCAACAAACAGAACCGTAATTTAGTAATAACTATCTGGTATCCATAACACAGGCCTCGTAGCTTACCATGGAACTAGATAGTGTTGTGTGTCAATGTGCCAACATATTTATTGTTTATTTACTTTACCTTGATGCCCTTTCGGGGAAAATGTTGGGACGTTCCAGTATTGTAGCATCCTACAAAAACTGCCAATTGTCAAAATATTTTCTACTAAGTTTAAATTCTAATAAAGTCAATTATAATTTACATTTTCAGTTTACTCATTCATTTATTCCGTATTTCATTGACATAATATTTACTAATGCAATCCCACCGATTTAAAAATTATGGTTGTTAAGAAAAAATATTGCGCATAATACAAAATATTGTGCACTGTAACATAGTCAACACTTATCAGCCATGGTACGAAGGTAACTTCTATATAATTTAAATGTTTTATTAATGCATTTTGATGATGTTTACTATTCTAATTATGCTGTCGCTGTCAAGTGTGGTCGGAGTTTTCAATGTCAAGGTTGCCCGTGCGCAGACCCGACGCACGCTCGCCGTCTCTCGCCATAGTGTTTGTTTATATATATGTTTGTTATTTAATTATTTATTTTAATTTAATATACCTCACTTGGCTTGATTTTAACGTAATAGTTGATATAAGTTAGTGTTACACACTCTAATATTATTGACTGAAAGCAGTTTGAGAAATATACCACGAAAAAGAAAATATCGCAAGTGGGTAAGATTTTTGAAGTTGTATTTCTTTTGGCGCATTAGGAATAGGGATTAACTTGAGCGAAGTAAGGGTGAGCCGATAGTATGATATAAAAGCTTGTCGCAAAAAAGGAGTTGACAGTTAAAAATCGTCAGGTAACGAAAAAGGTTAGATACGTAACAAAAAAATTTATGCTTTATTTTATTTATTAAGACCATCCCATGTGACGATACTACAAGTACCAGGCGAGCATAAGTGTTAAGGAAGTCGTACTATGCACTCTTTGACGGGCCCCTAAATATAAAATGGTAAAATAGGCACTCCTTGAAGCCCGTGGTCCCCTAGTACTCGTGACAAAAGTACCTGGCGAATGTAAGTGTTGAGGAAAATGTCGTAAACACTCTGTACAGGCTTTTCTTCGATGAGCTTCAACATGTACAATGTTTGTTGCTCGATGTCTATGCTACCCTGGTACTCGCGACAGTGTGTATGAGAATGCATATACATATATTTTTGTTTCGTCATGCCAAAGAAGTATAACTTCTTACGTGCGTACAATAAGTACACAGTTTTTATGTATCAAAGACTGAATAAATAACAATGCCGATAGGTCATTCAATGTTGTTGCAATATCTCGATCATTGATGTATGACTCGCCTTAATACTGCGTTAATACTTCCTTGATAGAGGAAAACATAAGTACCTAAACGTGTAAGTAGGTATTCTAGTATTTGCTTTATACGATGGCTTAGTAGGTATATATCGATGTGTGTTGTTTCTCAATTCACTTAATATTATAGACTATAAAGTTTTTTTTTAAATTATAATCAACTATTCTATTGTCTAAACATAGTACATTAACCTACTTCTTTCTTTCTATTAGGTATATCACTCGAAATAGAAAACTGATGGTTTTAAATTATGCAACGTTTTATAAAAATATGTATTTGTACAATATTCACGGAGTTTTTAGTTTATTAATATAAGTTTAAACAATTTAAATTAATATTGTCGCCGTTAGCAGTAAGTGCCCACATCACGTACATTGTACGTACAAATGCGCTCATTAATTTGTCTAGACTTCTAGGAATAATATTATGAAATTTTGTCTAAAAACTACAATAAAAACAAATTTGCAATGCCACTGCCAATTAGGCAACTTACCGACACTTTTAATGTATATTTAAGACTTACGTATAAAACTCATTGTTAATGTTTCGTTGGAGACTGATTATGACCTACCACGCAATTATTTACAAGAAAATTAAAAAATGTGCAGTTTTCCTTATCCGATACAGTTCAAGTTTACGTAGAAATATACTCTTAAGTAATATTTTAAGGGATTTCCTCTATCGGTAACGCCGGCTTATCTTAAATTATTCCTTTTACCGGTCGAACGCGAATGCGACGCCGGCCTACGAGCTGACGACGTGCATGGAGGGCATCCCGCCCTGCGACACCATATCTATGCTCGGTTCGCCACACGCTCACCATGTCAACCTCAACCCTAGAAAACGGAAGAGCCCATTGTGAGTATTCCACCAAAATCACCTGCTACGACTCCAGAATGTGACGCAAAACTATATTACATTTAACACGTTCATTTCTCGAAATCAGTCATTAGTGTAAGTTTCTAAACAACTAACCAGTTAACATCAATCGTTTAAAGAATTAAATTGACCTAGCAATCAATTAATCAATGTCTTACAAAGTCAACGTCTGAGGCACTTAATATCTGCTTGGATGTTGTTGAATTCAGCATATCATTTACTAGCGAATCACCCTCGCTTCGGTCTGGTTCATCCCTAGATACATTTTAACAGTTAGTATGATATAGATAGATTATAATATATAATACTACTATATGTGAAATTGTGTTTTTCTGTTTGTCCTTTTTCTACGTCGAAACGAAGCGAACGAGCGAAGCCGCGGGTTCTGCTAGTATATAAAAGACATAATAGTTTTAATTTTTTAGCGCGACATAATCTATACAGATAAATAAAATTGAAGTGTCTGTTTGTAATATCAAAAAACACCGTTTACCATTAATACCAAGTTTCAAGTAATTCTGATTATAAATATTTTTTTAGATTGTATAATAGCGTACTTTCCCGTGGGTATTAGATACTCTGCCGCGGTAAAAAATAGCATATGTCACTCTCCAGTCCTTCAACTATCTCCACACAAAAAATCACGCCAATACGTCATTCCGTTTCGACGTGAAAGAAGAACAAACAAACAAACAAACAAACAAACAAACAAACACACTTTCACATTTATAATATTAGTACGGATTACAAGTTATGATTGAATAACTTAATACTTTTCATTCCTTGGTTTGAGTTGTCAAAAAACTTTCAAGGGTCCATCCTATATTGATTAGTCAAAATATAAGTTATATTCTAATTCATCTTTTAGTAAGCTAAAATTTTTTATGAACATTTAAAATCGCTCTAAACGCTCCACTGTCGCGAATGCATTAGTCTGTAAAAGTATGTGTGTTGCATCCATGTGTACAATATTTCATATGAAATTAACTTATTGTATGTTCTGCTGCACGAGGACTAACATCAGAAGCGTGCAAAATTAATTTTCAACTACTTCTCAATTTTAAATGTTACTAACATTCGTTGCTACATTATTAAAATTCCGCCCTCTGCCAGCTGAGATTCTACAATCTATATCTATACTAATATTATAAAGAGGTAAAGTTTGTGAGTTTTTGACGTTGTAGGGGGTAATCTCTGGATCTACTGAACCGATTTAGATGAAATTTGGTAAGAAGATAGTTTGAGACCTTAGGAAGGACATAAAATACTTTTTATTCCAGAAATCATCCCTTAAGGGGGTAAAAATGGGGATGAAAGTTTATATAGGGAATCAGACTAGGGACGAACCCCAGCGAATCGAGGGTGAATCGCTAGTAGTTAATATTTTGATGTAAGTTAAGTCACATCAATACACTAACGATTACTTATATTACCTAACCTTTTGCAACAGGTTCATGTCCCATTGGAAACCATATCCAGGATTTAAAGTAGCTTTTATTCTTCAAAAATTACGTTGATCTGTTGTTCAGTTTCCTCTTGAATCAGGAGAAACACACAAACTCTTTTGTATATATAACATTTGTAAAGATAACCATTTTTCATTTCTTTGTTGCGACTATAGAGTATCACTATGACCATTTCTAGTGTATTGTGATCCAGAATAGCCATTATATGCTCGTAATTCCTATTTTGAAAAAAATCCAAAACTTTATCATATACTCGTACATGTTGTTGGATTTTTCAAGTGGATGAGGATAGCTAATTTAATTATAAGAAATAAGGAAAAAAGCTAAAATGTATCGCGTGGTCGATTTTATTACTTAGAAAAGCTACATTATTAATTTGAATAGAAATGAAACTGGTAACTTTAGGAAGTCTAAATCCAGTATAAATGTACTAACTGATAGTTTTACATGGAATGAACTTCTAAGAAGTAATACATAGGTGTATTATGTATCATAACAAGCATTTCAATTTCAGCTCGGACGGCTACGAAATTACTAGCTGTGACGTGCCGCTGTCACAGCCTCCAGCGTCCGTGCAAGAACCGGCCAGTGCTACGCGAAAAAGAAAATCCTCTACATAGTAAGTATTGTGTATGGACTGTATGTATGTGTTTATATTATTGTTACGATTTAGCATACCAAATTCTTTTTAGCTACTTTGAAATGTAATTAAACAACTATTAGAAAATGCGATTTTTTTATGGTTCTTTGTTCTTCACTATAAAACGAATGCACGGTTTTAGATAAGAAAGTTATACTTAGATAGGCAATGACGATATATGATGAGTTGGCATAGGTTATAAGACACCTAGAGAACGCACCTGAACCAAGCAAAGTTAAGTCGCTAGTAGTATATGTGTACTATAAATAGTTTCTTATTGATTTTAACGTAGTAGTTATTAAATCTAAATTACAAAAGATTAAATTAAAGTTCAACATGTACATACTACATATACTGCAAGAGCTTCAAAATACTTAACTTCGTAACCAAGTTCGAGTAACTACAATTGTTTTGGAAACCCAAGAAATGCTGAGACTCACCCACGACCTCGATCGCGGACCTGAATATTTCCTTAGTAAACGTATAACTAAAATCAATAATCATATTACCCCGCATTTTAGTTCTGTAATTGGATTGGACTAAGTTGAGTCACTGGCTATGAAAAATCAATTTATATCATAAAAGCTATAAAATTTGATTTATTTTTAATTAAATACTAGTTGTTAACCGCGATATCACTCCAGCCAAACATAAGCTGGATCGGGCGAAGGCAAAAGGTAGCCCATGTCCATGATGATAATCTATATCCATATAAAATTTCATCAAAAAATGTTAAACGGTTTCAGCGAGGGAAGGTAACAGACAATTACTTTCATATTTTATATATTAATATGAATTGGTGTAACTGTGTAGTGAGTTTACTAAATTTTTGCAGTATTTAAAAACCAAAATAGACCAGCAAATGCTTGATATCAAATTGATGTACATACGCGGTTTGGCATGCGAAAAATAAAAAATTCTATCATGAACACATACAGTATTTTTGAATGCCAAAACGGTCTCAATTATGGTAGTAAGTATTAACGGTCTCAAGTAAGGTATGTACTACAAATTTAAGATTTTCTGATTTATCTTTACTTGTGCTATAAGACATTTGCTATAGACGCTTTTTGCTAAATTCGTAATTCTAGGTCAACGGGAAGTACCCTTATAGGTTTTGACACCCCTGCGAGTATCAAACTATGCTGCATAAACGGCCGATCGATTTGATTGCGTCGACATTTTCACAGCTCCAAGGGATTGCAGAGTTAAAATTAATATTAAATACTCAGGAGTATTTAATATTATACACTCATCAGTATTTAATATTAATTTAAACTTGATACTTCCATGCGTTCTTGAGATAAAGGGTCTTGACAGATAGACAGACAGACAGACAGATACACAGATGGAAAGACAGATAAACAGACGGACAACAAAGTGATCCTATAGGGGTTCCTTTTATCTGTTCGAGTTACGGAACTCTAAAAATCAATACATATATTTTAAAGCATTTATATATAGCTATATTCAAATTCAAATTCAAAATATTTTATTCAGCATTACAATTTTTTATTTAACGTCATGAGTCTACTACCAGTACGGAAAGAAGAAGCCTCAGACTTGAGAAGAACTGGCGAAAGAAATTCTAATATTAAGCTATCTTTTTTTTAAAGTAAAATTATAATTTACAATATTTCTATCAAGTTGAAGTAGCCTGGAGGCGATCATTTCATTCCCAAGGCGTGCCATCTTCTATAAAATCATTTATTATATAATAAATAGCCTTCAGCACAAAAACGATTTTAACAATTTTTTTTATTTGGCGATAGAAATGGATGGCTGTCCTACAAGCGTATACATTGTCCATAAAAAGAATTACTAACTCTGCGTAGACGAGTCACAAGCATTACAAGTTTGTGTTTGCTCCTAGTATTAATGTTATGCATGTCACATTTCTTGGGAAATTCGCGTATATTTTTACGGACATATACACAACATTTTCGTACACGTACTGAGTAGCAACAGTCAATATTTTTATTTCTTAAACTTATCTCTTAATGACACTCTAGGACCTAAACTATAAATTACATGAATAGCTCTTTTCTGCAGGACAAAAATCGTATTAATAGCAGCTGCATTTCCCCATAGTAAGAGACCATTGGACATAATACTATGAAAATAACTAAAATATACTATGCGAGCTGTATCTACATCAGTAAGAAGTCTTATTTTTTATCGCGAACGCTGCAGAGCTACGAGCAGTCGAACGCTGCGAGCAGTCTACTCGCTAGCACCTCAATGAGGGGACCCCACTGCAATTTCGAATCTATGATAATACCTAGGAATTTAGTGAACTCTACGAGTTTTAACACTTTCCCATTTGATATTACACCATTATCAATAAGTATAACATTAGGTGTTGAGAATTTTATTAATTTTGTCTTTTTATTATTTAATAATAAATTGTTTGAATCAAACCAATAGACAACCTTTGAGAGAGCATCGTTTACATCGTCGTACATTAGCGAACTGCGCTTCACTTTAAAAATAAGTGAAGTGTCATCAGCGAAAAATACTATCCCATGTTTGTCCGCTACAAAAAATGGCAAATCATTAATTATAAATTAGAAAAGAAAGGGGCCAAGAGTAGACCCTTGTGGAATCCCCATATCTAATGGAGCTCTAGGAGATCTCTTACCATTTACATCAACCCTCTGTATTCTATTTTTTAAATACGAATTCAGAAGGTCGAGTGCATTATTTCTAATACCATAGTGATGCAGTTTCCTGATCAGCGTCTCATGATGTACACAATCAAAGGCCTTAGATAAGTCACTGAATATCCCAAGTGCATCTTGTGACCTTTTCCAAGCCTCAAAAATATTTTTCACTAGCTCAGCATCTGCCGTGGAGCGGCCTTTCGTAAATCCAAATTGTTTCTTATGAAGTAAATTGTGTGCATAGAAATGCGTTAACATTTGCGCGAGTATGATTTAGCGTCATCATGCTATGATATGATGAGATATTAGAATGTTTATCTACATAGAAAAAGAAATATTTTAAATATAAATACGTTACGTAATTTTTTTAAAGGTTAAACATAAACCCGTTTGAGTTTATACCAACCCTACATCTCAGAACAATTCCCATCGTAGCCATTCAATCCTCCCTCGAATCCTTCAAAGTCACAAAGGCGGCAATTAACTCGACGGGAGCTGACCTGTTGCGTCTACCTGTTACTACTACTCTACAGTACAGACGTGCTTTGTTACAGCTTACTTTGAACGTCCATTTTCACCAATAAATTGCAACTTACAACCAAATATTTGGATAAATAAAATCAGAACATACTTTATTCAAATAGACTAATTCTACATCTTTTGAATCGTCATTTAAATTAAATGTCAGTACGTTTGTAAGTTCGTGAGGAATCTATCTTCGGCTCGGAAGGCAGTTTTGCTGAGCCGGCGAGAAACTCAACGGTTGCTCTTTTTGAAAATAATATTTGTTTACAATATTGAAATATAATAATTATGTCCTTATCCTGCTACTAAATTAATCCCACACATTTACATTTGCAAAGTAAAGCTATTTAACTTTTAAAAGCAAATCTAAAAACAAATTCACAGCTATTTTATTTTTATATACATTATTGTTATACTAGCGACTTACCCTCTCTTCAGGTGCGTCCCTACGTGCCCAATAGTAGTCGATGTGGCCCATAGTCTACCTATGTATTAGGTATATAATAAATTTCTTAGAAATCCGTCTAGCCGTTTATGCTTTAGGAATAACAAACTCACATACATACAAACTTGTCGTTAGATTCGCGGTCTTGATAACGCGAGTGTCATAGGCTATATATAAATAGTGAAAAATTAAAATGGCGTAGGTTTTTAAGACGCCAATTTGTGTCTTTAAAATTTTTTTTCTTCCAAACCAATCAAGTGGGGTATCAGAATAAAGATGTATAAGAGGCGATCACAAAAATATTGACAACTTATATGTTTTAAAGTAATTTAGGATAAAAAATTGCTAAATATCACTTAAAATGTCTAATTGGCAAAAACTAAAAATCTATAAATAAACAAATATACTATAAAACTAAAAAATAAAAACGACTGCGTTAAAACTAAAACGGAGACATACCCGTTTCATCCTTTCCGCGAGATATACATACTCGTATGTATGTATTTCTCCGACTGCACAATACTATATTCTTTCGTCAACTTGTTTTCATCTTTTTAGTTAGCTTTTATGTAGTCTGGTTTTTTTTATTTTTATAATATATTTATTTATAATTTGCAAGTTCAATTGAAAATGGTTGTTTATTGAATTGGTTTTTAATATAATAAATACAAAGAGCTGCGTTGATGAATGACTTTAATATATAAATTACTTTTTTAAATATCTTTTTTCTTGAAATTTATAATTTCGAATACATCTCTTACTCTTTTTTCAACGTATCAGTCAGTAGGTTTCCTTACTAGAGACATGAATTTAGCGTAATTTGTATGGAATTTATGTCAAAATGCTATCCCTAGTAAGGAAAACCTCACATTGTTGAAAACGGCCATTAATGAACAACTAGGTAAGTTGGTACTTTGCACAGTCTAGATATAAACGCAAGATAACTCTTAATGGGATCAATATTTTGAAAATAGTATTTTATAATAATGGACTATGGTCTTTGGTCTCGCCTTACTTGAATGGGCTGAATGATTATAATAATTTTATAATAACTTCTAATGAGCTATTCCAGAGAGCTATTCCAGAATACTCGTATAATCTAAACATATAAAAAAATTGTAACTTAGCCGAATCTGTACATTAAAAATTTTTTGGAAAATTTTAATAAAATAGACTTTATTATCGATACAGAGGTCGAATCTATAGTTTTTAGAATTTTTGTCTGTCTGTCTGTCCATCTGTTCGAACTTGAAACTATCTTTTCGGATTTTTTCGCGGTTTTATTTTATATTTTTGTTCCCGACGTTTCCGTTTGTTATCGACGAAAATTGCTTTATAGTAAACATCACTAGACAAAATGCCAATATTCGCGTAAATATAAAAAAGTATAGAGATTGTACTCGTAATAGACATTAGCATCGATACAATATTTAATGACAGTCTGTTATCGTAATTGTTTTAAGGAAAGATGTTGAATTATTTTTATTAAAAAAGTGATGATATTTGTATTATTCTTATGTTTTCCTCAAAACTAATATGAAGGAACTTTTTGTAGCTTATTTTTTTCTTCTTTTTATGTGAGACGTGGCTACGTGTAATGATAATTACGGCAATTATGCAACCTCTACAATTTATGGATAATGCTTTATTTTCGTATCTACTACAAACTGAAATCTACTCTTCACTTTTTAAAACAGACAGCCAAGGTCTTCTTTTTTGACCGACTTTAAAAAAAAATGTACATTTCCGGGTGGTATCTTATGCGATATCTCCACAAATTGTTGATAGATTCTTACTTTTTTTTTTATTAATGTCTATACTTCAGGGTGGACTCATCCAAATTAAATAAACCCCTGATGGTAGAAAAGTTAAATATTTTAAGTGATACTGACGTCCATGTAAAAAAGTAATTCATTCAAAGACAAACGTTTTAGATTCGTTAATCTAACAAAGTAAAATTCATATGAAGAATTAAAACTACCCGGATTACTAACCCCATCTGTACCATTTATAATTGCTTTCGAACTTTGATGTATATGAATACTCAGGGGCAATGTACTTTGATTAAACTGAGAGTTCCTTTGGATGAACTCTGAAGTCGCTTTATATATGACCATGAACGAATGTGGTTAATTCGTTCATGTATATGACATTTGTTATAATTTAAGATATTCTTATGATACATACAAGTTTATAGTTCAACGTTATAAAAATTGTGTTTAAAATATGTTTCGATATTTTATTTCAACGAAAATGAATTTCAATTTGAATGGATCGTTCAACTGGCACAATATAAAAAGTTGAAGCTTTAAAAGATACTAATACGTGCATGGACACGGTTGCCTTGTCTTATGTGCCTCCATGTGGATTCGAAATTTTACAAGCTCCATGTTATGTTTTATAATGCCAGATACCCCAATAAATAATCATAAAAGTAACAGATGTCCCCATAGTCCATACACGTTTACGTTTCGTGGTTTCTGGTATATAGAATTTTTGTTTTTTCATTTTCGCTTTATTCCAAAAATAGAAAGAACATGCGTTTAACTTAATGTAACTGTAGTTTTAACTCTTTATTATACAAGTATTGAAATCTAGATAAGTGAGAGCTAGAACTTTAAAAGTATCCACTTCAAATAAAAAAAACTACTAACTAAATTAAATAAATTATTAGAAAAAATGTCACAATAAATATGTCTTTGCATGCAATCAATGGACTAAAATTAGGGTGCTCGTAATCACGTGACTGATTTGGCAAGATTCGTTTTACCAAAACTATTAGCACATTATTTTTGTCACTAGCAATTTCATAGCTTTTTATTGATATTAGTAAAGCGAAAGTTGAGAAGGGAAAGGACGGGAAAGTTTTATTAAGTGTATTTTTAAAGTAAAACTGTAAAATTACCAAATAAGTTGTTGAGAGAATAAGATCACCTTTAACTTAGTTATTTTTTACTGTACGTTTTTAGTTTCTACTGTCAATTGTAGTTTTCATATTTTTACAGTGGCGGGGGTAGTGCATATGACGACGATGGCAGTGAAGACGCCCGGTCCAACCGGACCTTACCTGACAAAAAGTAAGTTTTTATAATGAAAGTTTTCGTTGGGTGGCAATAGATCTACATTGGTGAATACATATTATGTACGTATTTGGTACTTCGATTATAATTATCTAATCTATACGTGTAATAAAATTAATCTCTACATTAAATATTTTTTGATTTTTTTTAAATAGTCATTATTATCGATACAGAGGCCGAATCTACAGTTTTTAGAATTTTTGTCTGTCTGTTTATCTGGGAACGGATCACGAGGAAACCACTGCACAAATTTTAATGAAATTTGGTATGATGATAGCTGGTTATCCGGGTCAACATATAGGATACTTTTACTTTTTATTGCGGGAAAACATCTCATCTCTAAGAAATCTATAGTACCTAGCCGGTAAAACGTATTTTGAGACGAACACAAGCGGAACAAGGGTGAGTCGCTAGTATCTATATATAGATAGATAAAGACAAAACTGTTTAGTGCCTTTTTCTCCTCTGTTTGTCAATCGATTTTCTTTTTTTTTTGTTTAGTAACTATTGACGAGCTTTAGTGTTGCCAATAAAAAAATTAGTATGGCCGGATTTTAACAACTATAAGAATACTAGTACTAGTAAATAATTAAAGATTCATATAGCTTTAACTTATATAAAAAACATATGGTGTATAGAAAACATGAAGATACGTGATTACCCTGTACCTTGCAACCGTCTATATCGAGATAAAGATGACGTGGTAAGCCAGAAGCCATAGTGCCTTACTCGTTACTAGCGTTTGAGGGTTCTCAAGTAAAGGGCTCTGCGTAGGTATATGAGCATTTATTCAAATCTATGCGCGTCTAGAACTGGTTAGCATGATCTCATACAGTTAATTACAATTTTATGATCGCGATGATCTATGTTAGATGATATAAACAAAACACCTGAGACTTAGGCGTACTTGCGATACTTTTCAGATATTCATCTGTATGGATAATACAAAAATATTTCCCTTCTGTAGGAATGAAATTTTCTCGAATATTGGGCAATGGTAAACTCATGTAAAGTAAACCTACTCGTATAGAGTGATATACGCATAAGTTAAGTTTGAAACTATTGGGTAGGTACTGTGTAGTCCTCCTTGAAACTATGTTATGCTATAAAGGACTTATTTTTTTAATGTATCTGTGCCTAGTTAGGGTCACCTAAATTATACATATTATGAACGGTTAGTATGGAAAAGATTATAGTCGATCCCTTGCTCTGTGAAAAACAAAAACATACTATCCCACGGGAACCGGTCATTTTTCCGAGATAAAAAGTAACCTTGTGCTATTCCAGACTAAAATATATCTCTGTACCAAATTTCATCTAGATCCGTCCAGCAGTTCTGGCTTAATTGAGTAACAAACATCCCATCCAAATTTTCACATTTATATTAATGGAATTATAGTTCCTTCCGCGTTGGTGTGTGTTAGTTCGAACAGAACCACTGTACTGTTTTCCATATGGTTTTCACCAATTGACAGAGGGATTATCTACGAAGGATAATTTTAAAAAAATATGTAGACACTTTATTTTTATTTCATAAAATAGATTGTAATCTATATTATGAAATAAGGGCCAGTCAGATTAAGCAACAAGGGTAGTGACCATTGTTGCTTAATCTAACTGTCTACTAAATGCTTTTCGAGGTCGCTGTTCGATTCACTTGAGATCCATCTAGAGCTGTATATTAAATGACCTGGGTTCGAATCCCACGCCAGACCAAAAGTTATAAATATATTTTTTTTGGAAAAAAAAGTCTATTTCCTGTTCTACACTTCACTTCATATTCGGTGTTTCTTTAGTGTTGTTGCGCGCGTCTATCCTTATTTAGACAATAAGGTTATAGTAAAAGCCAGGTGCATTTGTGATAGTAGTGTTGTTGCATAGATATTATAATAAATCATGGCTGATGGCTTACGTTCAACTGAAAGTACTTATAGTATTATAACAATTGAAGCATTACTACTAAACTCGGAGCTCGCAACCATCTTCGATCGGATCGAACTGGTTTAACTTCGCTAACTTCTCAACTCCGGCCATTAGTGAATATTTCTTACCAGAAAACCCAATAGCTACACCTCACCCGACCTAGGGCTTGAACTCAGGTACTTCAAATCTGCAGCAGTAAATGCTAAACCAACAAACAATTATCCTCTGCATATAGGTAAAACTGCTTGCAAATATCTGAATAAATAAAGTAATACAGTGCAAACTAAGTTATTTCACGTTTATTCTATACGAATGTATGCATATAGCAATTTAAAGCACATGTCGCTTTCATTGTAATATCAAAAAATGTTAAAACAGTTCATTACACGCTCGTTGCGTCCCATTCGATTGAACAGTTTCCACGTTCCTGTTGGTATTACGCATCATCGAGTTCAAGAAGTGGTTGACAGTTCACTTTGATGAAATTTTATTACTAAACTAGCAGCAACCGCGGCTACGCCCGCGGTCAATCTACAAAAAAACTCTTTAGCTTTATATTATACAGCGACTCACCCGCGCTACGTTCGGGTTCATTGCTGTGGATTTGTATAATATTTTTCATAAAAAATACTAAAATCGCGATTAAAAAATGGGGGACCTATTCATACCTACCAAATATGAAAAATGATAATAATAATCGGTCGAGTCGTTTCAGAGGTGTGCGACCACAAACACCGTGACACGAGATATTTATATATTAGATGTATTTAATTTATTAGTTCACTAGCATTGCCCGCGGCTCCGCCCGCGTTCAGATGACCAAAAACCAAATCCTTAGGTTTTACATATTCGTATACTCGTACAATGCAGTTTTTGTATTGTTTCTCAGAAATGAGATATTTTCCTGCGGTAAAAAGTATCCTATATGTTGACCTGGATAACCAGCTATCATAATACCAAATTTCATCAAAATCTGTCCAGTGGTTTTCTCGTGATGCGGTAACAGACAGACAGACAAAAATTCTAAAAACTATAGATTCGGCCTCTGTATCGATAATATGTCTATTTCAATAAGATTTTTCCAAAAATGTTTAATGTACAGATTCGACTTAGTTACAATTTTATTATATTATAAATTACTAGAAAAACTGGAATTTAAAATTCATACTCACTCGATTCGTCAGCCACAACTTTTTAATATACCTTCGGCAACTAATAACGTTTCCCAAAACAACCCTTTACACAAAATGTGTAAAACATACAATAGTTTAAATGATGAATACGACATTTTTAATAATAGTTTATTATCGTTCAAGAAAAAATTAAATAAATCATAGTACTTACTTTACATTTTCGATAATAAGGATATGTTTTCTCTCTGTTTTTTTTCTCCTTTATCTTTTTTTTCTTTGTCTTTTTTTCCACATAAAACGTAAATATTATTTTCTTTTTGTTTTTTAATATTTTTTATGTACTCGTAACTTTAAATGCACAGACTTGTACTGTAATATTCACCTTCTGGTTAAGTTTGTTTATACAATTATTATATGTTTTTATTTGAATGTTGTGTACAGATATAATTGGACAACAAATTTAAAATGATATTTTTAGTTTTTAATACGTAGATGTAATTTTTTTAATTTGTTTTCTGTTTCTGTACCTAAATAAATAAAATAAAATAAATATGTATGGATTGGACAAGTAAATACTTGAAATGCTTAATTTCAATTTCCCGAATTCATTTCTCGTATATGGTAAAGCAATTAATAATTTTCAATATTCATTATAGAATATTTTGTTGCATCATATTTAGCGTTATATACATACTAATATTATAAATGTGTAAGTGTGCTAGTTTGTTTGTCCTTCTATCACGTCATAAAGAGTGACGGATTGGCGTGATTTTTTGTGTGGAGATAATTGGCGGGCTGGAGAGTGACATAGGCTACTTTTTACTGCGAGATATTACCTAATTCCCACGGGAAAAAACGTTATAATACAATCCAAAAAAATATTTATAATCAGAATTACTTGAAACTTGGTATTAATGCTTTTCAATAAAATTAAATAAATACGTGCTTTAGCATTTTTTGAAATTCATCCTAAAAGGGGATAAAATAGAGCATGAAAATTTGTCTGAAATAATCTTTTTAGAGATTTTTTTGTAGTTTTAGCGCGAGCTAAGCCGCGGGTTCTGCTAGTAATATATAAAAGTGATTTTTTTAAATGAGATTCAATGGCGTCAAACGAAACTATATCCATATATTATCCATATAGGGAATGATGCTCAAAATGGTTACGGGGCCTTTAAGTTTTAAATAATTTAGTTTTCTAAGTCTGTAATTGGACCTGTCATATTTTCATCGTCGAAAAGCGAAGGATTGAATATGATATCACTACCACTTGTAGCTTTTTCATAATAAAGTAATAAAATATACAAATACTAATTTTAGTGCTCCGCTTTGCTAACATGCTTAAAACTCCACCTGTCTAAGCTTTCTCTATAGTGCAGCTTTTATTACTAAAAAATAATAATGTTTAAAATAATTACGTCTAACCAGAATTCTGTAAACTCCTTAATTCTCAATTTTGAAGAACGCGAGATTATAACCAACATTTTTAAAACAAAAAAGTCACGCAAAATAAAACAAAAGCTCATAAAAAGGGACGGAGAGACGTCTGTGGTATTCGTAAACTCACTTTATCAAAAAAATACAATTAGCAGTTCTATATATTAGCCGGACGTACAAACAAAAACCATTAATAGATATTAATGTATAATTTTTCATTATAATCCTTTACATTCAACAGACAGAATCACAGCGAGATTGAAAAACGTCGACGAGATAAGATGAACACATATATATCTGAGTTGAGCGCGATAGTGCCGATGTGCGGTGCGATGGCACGGAAGCTAGACAAACTAACAGTACTACGAATGGCGGTACAGCATCTTAGGTCCATCCGTGGGGCTCTCTCTGCCGGCCCATTGACAGTTAGACCCAGACCATCCTTCCTATCAGAGAAAGAGTTAAATGCCCTAGTGCTACACGCAGCTAGAGACTGCTTTCTAATGGTCGTGGGATGCGACAGGGGGAGATTGATCTACGTTAGTGCGTCAGTTACCAAACTTCTACGTTATGATCAAGTGAGTACTTTGGTGTGTCGATTTCTTAAATTATGGATGCTTAGTACGCTATTTCCGCTATTATTTGGATTGTTCTTCTAGCAATTTATTCGTTGCTGATGTTACATTATGTAAGTATTTTTTATATAAATCACAGATTTCTTTGTTGATTCTTTTAAATTCTATTGCCATCCAGGTAACGGCTCTCAGTGGGACAGCACATTCAGACAATGATTCGTAAAATTTTATTGTTTAAGTTTCAAGGATAATTACATTGGCACAAAAGACTGGCAAGTATGCTATTCTAAAGAATAATCTATGGCTGCTTGCTTTCTATTGTGAAAAGTTGAAAAAGTTTAAGAACCCCAAAGAACTTTATAGAAAATGAAGCACCATATTTATTTCCTTTACATAAATCTGTATAATATGTCTGTTTGTTGTGATTCGTTCGTGCTGAAGTGTATGGACGGATTTGGATTTACGGCACACTCGAAGTATCACATAAATTACTATTAGTAATAATATTTTTGTATTTATAATAGGTATATATATATATATATATATATATATATATATATATATATATATATATATTTACGAGTATATATATGTACATTTTCATAGCTTCGTAAAATTTTCCATTCAATTAATTTACATTTCAATATCTCAACTGTTTAGTGTTGACATTGGTATGCGATGGAGTGCAAATTTTGTTATAATATATTATAGGTAATTGCTTTCAATTAATTGCTTCTGCGAAATGTACTGTGAATTTATTTTACTGTCGGCGTTGCTTACATTTTTATGCATATTGATTTTATTTTGATGTGCAATAATATATTAATTAGTGCGGATTGGATTCGCAACTAAAAGAAATATGTATAATAAAAAAAATGGCATAAAGAGATTATAGTGTTGACAATGTTTGTGGTTGAGGTCTTTGAATTACCTGTAAAGACTAAAGCTGTATCATCAGCATACGAGTATACCTTAGCATGTGTTAGTTCATACTTCCGTTTTATTTTTTTAATCAGATTATTGCAATGGTTTCTGTATCTTATATATGTTATTTGTATTTAAGCAATGTGTACGTAAGCGTACTTTAATTGGGTTTATTTACTCGACCTTTTTAAAACTATTTTTTGCGATATTCTAATTTAGGCGCTATTGTAAATTAATTTGCTAGTTATTTATACTGTATGCGAATTCTGTTGCTGGCTTTGCTATTTATCGTAACGATGAAGGCTTAAGGCGAACGTCTTTTGTTATCTATACTAATATTGTGAGTTTGTGACGTTGTAGGGGGTAATCTCTGGATCTACTGAACCGATTTAGATGAAATTTGGTAAGAAAATAGTTTCAGTCCGTGGGAAGAACATAGAAAACCTTAGCTGTGTTAGTTACTATAGGATACTTTTTATCCCGAAAACCATCCCTTAAGGGGGGTGAAAATGAAAATTTGGGATGAAAGTGTGTATGGGGAATCAAGTTAGGGACGAACCTGAGCGAAGCGACGGTGTGTCGCTTGTATAATATATTAAAAATTCATATCAGATACACAGTTTCAAACTAGCATAATTATTTTTTAAAAATCAAAACTAATATCAGCGACCTTGTATTTTTATTATGTAAATATACTCTTAAAGCGTTTTTAGCATTATAAATAGCCGCCATTTTTATTTCCACATACATTGATTAGGACAAACGGTATAAATGAAGCCGTCTTTTTTTCCAGACGGAACTTCTTGGGCAGAGCTTATTCGACATTTTACATCCAAAAGACGTTGCTAAAGTGAAGGAACAACTGTCTTCGCCTGATCTCAGCCCTCGGGAAAGATTAATAGATGCTAAGAGTAAGTCTACGTTCACTTAATTATTCATATAATTGTGTAATTAGTTATTAACACACTAATATAATTTTATAATCGAAGACAGCTCAGTGTAAATGCGCTTTCTTGGGAAACTTAGTGAAGCGGGTTCAAGTTCGTAGTCTCGCACCTCTGATTTTTCATGTGCGAATAATTTCTAACATGGTTAATACATATCTTAGGGTGAAAAAAAATCGAAAGAAAACATATGCAAGATTAATATGTTTCCTCAGACAAGCGTTTGAGAAATTCTAGGAAGTTTGAGACACATGCTCAGTTCGCCAACCCGCACTTGGCCAGCGTGGTGGACTATGGCCTGATCTACCTCGCACAACTAGGGAGGCCCATATCCAGTAGTCGGACGTTAAAAGCACTGAATACATTATCATCGAACTATTTAAATATAATTATTATAAATGCGATAGTATTTGTGTGTAGCAGTGGTGAAGGGTGAAATTTTAGCAGAGGTAAGCTGTTCCAAAAATATACAATCAAGTTTTATATACGTATTAATGCAGAAATATACATTTAATATATATATATATATATATATATTTTAAATGTATAATAAGAACATTATACATTTAAAAAATAAATGTATGTAAAATTATAGCAAAATAATTTTAGGGTGAGACGTCTTGTATGTATGTGTTGTATGGACGTTTCGCCACTGGTGTGTAGGTATATTTTGTTAGTTCTTCACGCTGAAAAGGCTTAAAGAAAGGAGCTTAATGATATTTAGTACACGGACTATGATCTGGAGTAACGTATAGGCTATTGGGCACCTCGAACGAAGCGGGTAAGTCGCTAGTAAATAATGTATAGGTACCATTTTGTGTTTTTACATTATAGTTTTTTTTATTTCATGCCATTATATTCTTTTCAGGCTTCATTTTCATATGTAGCAAGTGTCTTTATGGTTTGAGATAATGCCCCAAACTTTATCGAAACTGATTTAATTATTTTCATTCATAATATTAGTGTTAATATAATCTGTTGTTTGTCTATTTTTATGCATTATTTATTTGCAAATCTAACATTCTAATTAAAAATAAAACCTTCAGAAATACTAAACAAAAGTTAAATGTCTCATTATAGAAAGTTACAAGTTTAAATTAAACAATTTTGTGTAAGAAAACTCATTCACTAAACGTTAAATATACTCTATTATTCAAGAACAAATATACCTAGGTTACGTTCTATTAAGCGCTCACGGCGCCTAAAATATTCTTTTGACCGTTCCACGTGGCGACTACGATCGTTGTGGTCGCGGTGATATCGTCACTAATGACGTCATGACTTACGCTCACGTTGCGCTCACGACAACCCATCTCGAGAGTTGGGTCGAAGGGAGCGTTGAGAGAATTAGAGGCATTTTAAAAAACAAACCAATAAAGAGGGCGTGAAAATTTTATTATTTGATGGAACAAGAGATTTTTTAGTAGAAGTAAATATTTCTGAAGCGGATGCTCAACGTGCTGCTACTAGTAAATATAATTATGTAAAACAAGCTTATAAAAAATAATTGCAATTTATAAAGTGTCACTTTTAACTTTAAACATTTTTATAATTTTAATTAGTTTAAAGTTTAAAATATTGTAAGGTAATTGGCGAAATTTTCAATTTGTTAATTGTGGGTCTGTAACAACCATACCTTCGAGACATGTAACACCTCAGTCTCTCCCGTGACCATGAATGCTGTAAAGCATTCGAAACGTCGGGAACCAAAAATCCAAATAAATCCGCGAAAAAATCCGAAAAGGTAGTTTTATTTAAAATGTCAAATATTCGCGTAAATCTAAGAAAGTATTATGCATAGAGATTTTTAAATGTCTTTTATTAGCTTCACTTCTGTTTAACTAACAAACTCAAAATCTAACTACGTGAACGAAATAGATGTCCAAATAGTGTATCGAGTTGAATTTTTTTAAGGAATCCGTGTTATTTTTAATAGCTAGGTATTATAAATGTGAAAGTTTGTGAGTATGGATGTTTGTTAATCTTTCACGCCAGAACGGTTGAACCGATCTGGATGTTTGGCACAGAGATAGATTATAGTCTTATTCCAGACTAAATAAAATACCAGACCAGATAAAATAATATGAAATGATGGATTCTTTTAACCTTTCTGTAATTAAACTAATCAATGGAATATAAACGACTTTTCTTTTGTATTTATTGTTTGAATCTTCTTTTGTATTTTTGAAAGTCAAAGATTTATCAATACAATAATTACTCAATATTTTGTTTTTTTGACGATACATTTGCCTCAGTTTGTAGTGACCCTACTTTCTATCTCAGCGGTCGCGGATTCGATTCTTGCTAGGGGCATTAATTTGTGTGATGAGCATGAATGTTTATACTTCAGTCATAGGTGTTTATATTTATAATATGTATGTATTTAAAGTTATATAATATGTGTAGTGTATCAACTATCTGGTATCCATAACACAAGCTTCGTAGCTTATCATGGAACTAGATGATGCTGTGTGCTAATGTCCCAACATATTTATTTATTATTTATTAATAAAGAAAGCTTATGTGGAAGCTGCTCCGTAGAGGCTTTTTAATGAATATTGTAATTTTAATAACGAAATTGATGCGAAATATCTTTGTGAAATATTGATAATGTGTTTCAAACATCGATCACTTAAGAACTATTTACACAATCCCATACCAAAGTTCTCCTAAGACTGTCACCAATTGTGTTTAGGTTATTTTAGTTAGAATAAATATACAATAATGTAAATTTAACCATAGATTCAATGCTTAAAGTTGCTTTCACAAAGCTATGTACAAAAATAAAAAAAATATGACAAACAAAAAATATACCGATAGGTATACCATACCAATCATATAATTTTTAAGAAGCTTACTACAACCTATGAAAGTATTGTAACGTAACCTTTAATCATAATATTTTTAAATTTTGTTAGAATTCTTGTTAGTCTTTTTATTAATCTTTACAGCAATGCTACCAGTAAAAACAGACGTGGTGACGGGTGCCTCAAAACTCTGTCCTGGGGCCCGACGTTCTTTCTTCTGTCGAATAAAATGTGGAATGGAGACAGACCACAACGCAAATAATCAGAATACAAGCGAAGTAAAGGAGGAAAATGATCCTAACGCTAAGATTACTAAGAAGCAACCAAATGAAAAGAAATACTGTGTCGTACAATGTACAGGTAATACTTTAAAATTATGATTAATTACTTTTTAGAATTCGCGGCTTTATGATGTCTTTTGGTTTTTGATGTTTCGAATGCTGTGGCCATATTTTTATTTAAAAGGTCCAGGCAATGTGATTTTAACTTTACTAAAATTGTCCGAGAGCTAGCGTTATACTCGTAAATGATGATTGATGATTATGTTGTTCCTAATACAAATAATATATTTATCATTTTGAATACAAATTTGATCTAGAAGTAGATCTAGAACTTTATTGATAGTTCTAAGTAAAACTTTCTTTTCCGATTTTTTCGTTTCGAATGCTTATTTAAAATGTTTTTATTTAAAATGTCAAATATTCGCGTAAATCGAAGAAAGTATTATTCTGATAGTGTCATGATTAGTGGATAGTAAAATTTATGTGCTACTAGCATTGCCAGCAGCTCCGCCCGCGCCTAGATGACCAAAAACCAAATTCTTAGGTTTTACATATTAGTATACTCTTACAATGCAGTTTTTGTATTTTTCTCAGAAATGAGATATTTTCCTGCGGTAAAAAGTATCCTATATGTTGACCCGGATAACGTGCTATCACCATACCAAGTTTCATCAAAATTCCTCCAGTGATGACAGATAGACAGACAAAAATTCTAAAAACTATAGTTTCGGCCTCTGTATCGATAATAATGTCTATTTTTACTGTGGGCGATTAATTACTTTTTACCGTGGGCGATAATCTCTTTCCAACGGGAAAACACGTTATAATACAATCCAAAATAATATTTATACTCAGAATTACTTGAAAGTTGGTATTAATGCTCTACAATACAATTAATTAAATACGTGTTTCAGCATTTTTCGAAATTCATCCCATAAGAGAGCAAAATAGCGGGAAAAAAAATTATAATCTCACAAGGCTAGCGCTGGCTAATAACTATTTAAAACGTACTCGTAGCTAGGGACGAACCCGAGCGAAGCGAGCGGAGCCGCTAGTTATTAATATTATTACTATTTGTATAAGTATGAATGTAACCTAAAAATTAATATTAACTACTTGAATGCATTTGCATATTTACAATTTCTCTTTCTACTTTAGCCACTAAAGGAATAAAAAAAGCAGTTTGACTTTTACAGTTTTTCAGTTATTTTTAAATCTTGTTTTTAAACCGTCAAACAAGTTCCCCAATTTACCTTTAAATGATTGGTTTATTTTGTGTCCATTTATACTCATGTCGCCCATAAGACGCGCGCGGAATAATTTAAAATCATAGCCTGATTTAAAATGTTCAGTCCAATCGGACCCTCCAGCAACGTGAAGGACGAAATGAAATTGACAGAATTCGGATATCACAAACCCGTGAATTTATCTATTCTAGCGACCATAACTTAAAAACTAAAGATGTCATCACGACATGTGTACTTTATAAGCGACGCCATCAGCAGAACTTGACCAGAATAGATAAGTTTGTGGGACTGCCACAGTCCAATAGATTTTGACAGAACGTCTGTCGGGTCAGCTAGTAAATAATAATTATGAATGATAATTCAATAAAGCATATTAATTCTAGTAGTTACGTTTAACACTGATGTCTCTGAGGACATTTAAAATGCCAATAGACTTGTGGAGTTGGTAAAAAAACGTTATCATGAAAGAATTGAATTTGACCACATTTTTTGGAAATTGTACTTTGCAATACTTTCTTAGGTTTACGCGAAATTTTGACATTTTAAATAAAGCTCCTGGATTTAGTTTGATATTTGATTCCCGACGTTTGGAATGTCGAATGCTTTACAGCAATCTTGGTCGATAGAGAGACTGACGGTCTCAGAAAGAAACGATAAGATAATCTCAGAGATAGTTTTATTTAAACTATTCTTTGTTCTTAATTTTTATCATTAGAATCTTTTATTTATAATTTTTATATTGAAATAGATAATTGTTAGATATTCATATCGTAATTTGAATTTATTATCAAAGCTAGGTAGAGCATATAAAACAAAACTGAAGCCAAATCTATGTATAAGTCAGTGTGCTTATTGAATTCCGTATCTTTAACTTACATATAGAATACCTTTTTTGACGTCAATAAGTACTCAGCTCTCAGCGTATTTTCTGAAATACAAATCAATCACTGTGCTTATCGAACCCCATAATGTCTTACCTGTTTACATATAGAAAACCATTTTTGGCATCAATGTTCAATGATTAAATGATGTTTCTTTATAATAAACACAAGGTTATCTCAAGTCCTGGACACCAACAGACGTGTCCGAATCAAGCACAGGTAGTACAGACACCAGTCTAGATGATGGGGATGTATGCCACATGTCTTGCCTGGTCGCAGTGGGACGGGCTTTAACCGACCTCGCCCCACAACCCTCCCCCACGACATATACGAGGCACTTACAGTACATATCTAGACATGCGACTGATGGAAAGTTTCTGTTTGTTGATCAAAGGTGAGTTTGTTGAGATTTTTTATCAGTGACAAATGATTTCAATTTATGCTTGAGATTTTTTTATACTAAATGTAAAAAAATGGTGGATCGGCTCTTGAAGTATACGCTATTTATTTAAAAAAGAATTGTTAAAATGGTTTAAAATATAACAAAAATGTACATGAAATTAATATGTAGGTACTCCTCCTCCTCTTTAAAGTTGGTCAATCAATTAATACTATTTCTTTCACAAAAAAGCCGTTAAAATTGGTTCATAGTTGGTATAACTGATTTAAAAGAAAAAGTCATGAGGACTGCCGACAGAAGTGAAAACTTAAAACTATAAACAAACAGTTGTTATTTTTGGATATTGAAATTAGTTGTTAGATCTTAAATTAAAATTTGTAAATTAAAACTGTTTACATTTATCTGGTTTTGACATCTATCGGCACTCTGAGTGTTAGCGTTAACACGTCACGTGACCATGTCGGTGACGATTTAAAAAAAAATCTAAAGTAATCTGCAGTCATCTTATGTTTAGTCAACAATTTGAGTATGGGAGAAATTAACACCAACTCCAGTAGAATATTATTTATACCTGTTTAATAATAAAAAACATAATAAAATTAGTTACATGACATATATAAGTAACTTAACTTTTTTATAGTTTCGACACGCATTATCATAAATTTTTCTGATTTCCCACAGAGTGACACTTGCCCTCGGTTTCCTTCCCCAAGAACTTCTAGGCACCAGTTTGTACGAGTATGTGAGTGCGACTGAGTTAGGCACAGTGGCTCGAACTCACAAAGCAGCCCTCCTACGTAAGACGGCCTTGAAAACCCCGCCCTACTGTTTTAGACGCAAAGATGGCTCTTATGCGAGAATGCAGACACATTTCAAGCCTTTCAAGTGAGTCTTTGTCACTGGTAATTTATAAATACTAGTGATCGCCTCGTGGTTGAAAATCAACCATCATTCATTAAGTTTGATCGATATTCAGGTTCTTTTTTCAAAGTTATATAAATAGCCTATAAAATTGAAAAGAATTTTGAAACGGGCCCATAGATTCGAAGATTTGCACGTATAGACAAACAAACTTTTCATCCTCATATTATGTATGATTGATGATGACTCGTATAATATCGATGAATATTATCTAACATAACGCTACGTCTTTTAGAACTGAAGTAATTATATATAAATAAAATGCGCGAGCGGATTCGCGGGTAAAATAAAGTCAATGAATTTTAGCTTTCTGCAGTCCTTCTCTATATAAATTTTATGCCAAAGCTCATCCTCCTCCGTACATGCAATATGCTTAAAAAGGGGTTCAAAGTTTTTGCTTCACGTATTAATATATAGACTTTTTAAGTCTAACATTAACAATGTCTTACTAAATAAGGCTTATTATTATACTGTCACGCAATACTTCATAGATATCAATGTGTGGAACTATTATCTGGTTGGGTCTCACGTAGGATAAATATATAATTATTGTTTTACAATATTGTACACAATTATTATTTTAAAAGCGCAACTGTTGAGTTTCTCGCCGGCTCTTCTCAGCAGAACAGCATTCCGAGCCGGTGGTAGATTCCTCACGGACTGAATACACTGACATTTAATTTAAATTTAAAATATAAAATTGACCATTCAAAAGAGCTTGTAAAAGTGTATTTGAATAAAGTATATTTTGATTTGATTTGTTTATGATTATTCCAGAAATCCATGGACTAAGGACGTGGAATGTCTGGTCGCCAACAACACAGTGGTGACAGAGGACCAGGCCCCTCCCCCATTGGATGATTGTCACCATTTCAGTATGTTTAAACAAAGTACGTACATTTTATTGACTTTTTCATACTTTTTTTCATTTATTAATCACGTTAATATCAGAAATGTGAAGCTTGTATGTGCAAGGATGGATTTACTCGTGTGGAGGAAATTAAAGTTTTTTTTAATGAATTTTCACACGTACCAAAAGGTTGTTTCTTAAATAGAATTTAAGGAAAATACACATTTCTTTTTGTTTTTCGTTTGATCCTATGGGTTTTATCGGTTGTAGGTTGTTGCTTTCATTAGATTTTTTAATCCTCATTGGACTAGGAGTATTATAACTAAATAAATTAAGCGAGCGAAGTCGCGGGTTCAAGCTATTTACAAGATATTGACGTAACGGAGTTCAAAATTATGAATTAAGTAGTATTTTGCGTTGTGGGTTCATAACTCACTCGGGCAAAGTATAATTGACACATTTCAAAAGACAGGTATATATTATATGTTTTCAATGACTAAGGCTTTTATATTATTTTACTGTCTAATGTTAGCTGTATACGGCTGGTACTAGATATGTGAGCAGACTTTAGCATATTTAAGTCGTGTAATGTATTCTTTACAAACAAATGTACCTCGCTAGAATGAATATAAATAAGGTAATCAGTACAAATACTTTTATTATACTACTAGCATGTCCGCGGCTACGCCCGCAGAAGAAATGAGACATTTTTCCGCGATAAAAAGTATCCTATATGTTGACCCGGATAAACAGCTATCACCATACCAAATTTCATCAAAATCCCTCCAGTGGTTTTTCTGTGATGCGATAACAGACAGACAGAAAAAATTCTAAAAACTATAGATTCGGCCTCTGTATCGATAATAATGTTTATTTCAATAAGATTTTCCAAAAAAATATTTAATGTACAGACTTGGCTTAGTTACAATTTTATTATATGTATAGGACATATTTTATAGTTCAATATTTTATGACATCCCATTGTACAATCTTCAATTTGACTGGGAGTAACCATACATATTAATAAATAATTATGTCCTACCGATCAATTTCGGCCACGGCGGCCAATCTCACTGAGACTAGCCAACTTCTCAGGAGATATTATCTCATATATTATTATAGTGTGCTCGTGCACTTTCTATTCCATTTACTCTCGTGCGTCCGATGGGACGACATGTGCTCTCCGGACGCGGGGTGACACACCGCCGACTGCCCAACTCCGGGCTGTTACTGAGAATATCTTGACAGAAAAACCGTAGATATTATACCATATAAATAATTTAAATATGTCACTGATTTACTATATTTTGATTTTGAGAATTGTGTTGTCGTTTCGATCTCTCGTTTAAAAAAAAAACAAATATTTTAAGCAATTTCACATTTTCTCAAATATGCACTATTTTCCCTTGCATTCAATTATTTTTCTAATTTACTTTGTGTTTTACATATTTGCTCACATGTCTTAGCGTCATGAAACTTTTATACATATATGATGATCAGATTCGCAGTTAGTCGTAACATTTAATTTGATTTAAAATATATTATAAGCTTGGAATTATTTTTTTCTATGATCATTGAAGTATCCACAGACGTTATAGCAATTAAAACTGTAACTGTTTCCCTAAGGAAGGAAGATACCACAGTATAAAAATTCAAACCGTATTATATGCGAGGGTTGTCAAAAAATACATACAAGGCAAGTTACCGTATATGTCCCCGACAACACTAAATCGTTTCTCTACTTTACGAGGCACTAGACGCCATCGATAAACGACTATGGATTAGTTAGATTGTGATTTTGATATGTTGTCGCCGCTAGAGTAATCTAATCATCACCAATGATTTGACGACACGTTTGACTCAGTTTGTAGTGACCCTACTTGTTGTACCAGCGGTTGCGGGTTCGAGTCCTGTTGGGGGCATTAATTTGTGTGATGAGTACGAATGTTTGTACTCCAGTCATGGGTGTTCATATTTATAATATGTATGTATTTAAAGTTATATATGTGTAGTCTATCAACTATCTGGTATCCATAACACAGACCACGTAGCTTGCTATGTAACTCGATGGAGCTGTATGTTAATGTCCCAACATTTAAAAAAAAATTGCTTAAATAAAATAAAAAAATGAATAATTATTATAATATCGACTTATAAGCTCGCCGGCCATGCGTGATATTGTTCGCGTTGCAGGCGGGCCGGTTCACGACCAACTTGATACTGCGATTTCAGAATCTGACGTCGAAATACAGAGATTAATCGATTCACAAATCGGATCGCACAAAATCGGCTCGACAATAGCAGAAGAAGCACTAAGGAGGTCCCCGACGGAATTCCCGGCGGATTTGCCGACGGATTTGTTGCAGGATGCCGTATTTAATCAACAGGTGATTGAGTTTTTTTATTTATATTTAGTTGTTTTTTTTTCGATGATTTTCTAATCGATTTTAGAATAGTGGTGCACTTCTTTTGCTATGGGACGTCATTGTTATACTCACATTATTATACTCATTGGTAGTATGCTATAAAGTAGTAGTAACTGTATTCACCTGTCTATACTCGGTGCTATATGGTTCTGGCTGGCACCAACGAGCCAATTCAGAACAAACTTTTTTCATCTAAGACAAATGTCCAAACTATCATTAACAACTGAAAACTATCCGTCACACAACTTACATTGAATTAGTTTACTTGAATGACTTTATTTCTTATTGAGCCTTCAGACATTCACTAAAATAACGATATTACAATATCATACAATGAAAAACACAAGATTGTGTATAAAAAATTAGAGTGAATAGCGATTTGATACTATCAATAGGGAATATGTGTGATTTTTTTATTTTTTTTTTATGCTATAGCTAACTATATAATTGTAAAAAAATATATCGAGCTCCAATAAACTAAAGTATAGTATAAAAAAATAAAAATATCATGCCGACATAGATACTTTAAACGCCCACCATTTCGCGCGTTTGGCGTGACGTCACAGTATGATATACACGGAAAAATGACGACTCAACTCAAATGTCTCCAACTGCATAATACTTTATTCCTTCGTCGACTTGTTTTCATCTTTTTAGTTAGCTTTTATGCAGTCGGGTTTTTTTTTATTTTTATAATATATAGTTTTTTATAGTTATTTTATTATAATATAAGATAAAATTACATAACAAAGATTACAAAAAAAATATTTTACCTTTATTTAAATCACACGCATATTCCCTATTACAATGTAGGCCAGTAAAAGTGTAAAAAATGAAAAAAAAGGGTACTTCTAACAATCTATGTTAAATATAACACCTAACAATAACGATCTTAATCTTTTATTCCAGACATCCCTAGTTGACAATCTCTTGGGGGTAGAATTACCAAATTATAACAATCATGTACGAAACAACGTGCCACTAAGTTCGGCTGGAGGCGAAGATTCCCCTCCACCGGAAACGAACGGGTTATCACCAAATAGTCCCCCACCGGCATCCCCCCCACTTCCGCCTCTTGGTTTAGACGGTAATGGTGAAGCAGCCATGGCAGTTATAATGAGCTTATTAGAAGCAGATGCAGGACTTGGCGGTCCAGTCAATTTCTCCGGGTTGCCTTGGCCATTGCCTTAAATCATCTTGGCCGTATACCCCCTTTTATCCCCTAGTGAATATCATTTTACACTTATGTCTAAACAACGAGAGGACTTGCACTAAGATCTAATGACGTGAAAACAATAAAATAGTAAAAGAAAATAAAAATAACACTTTGAATACAGTTTTAACTTTTGAAAACTATTCTAAACATACATTTGACGGATTTTTGTGTGTTCTCCTACTTATACTGAATATAGGCCTATAATATTAAGTAAATTAGAAAAGATGGCAGTAAGACCTCTTATTGTTATACAGTTGTAACACTTCTTGGCCAGTCTACATATTAAGAATTAGATAATTGATTTTGTATAATATTATTTTAATGTATGTTGAACATGCTTTTATTATAGATTATTCGTATTAGAGCAATTTGCCTCTCATTCACAAATATTTTCTTTATTTGTTAACAATTTATTAAATTTAATTTTATTTACATAACATTTATTGAATATTATTATTACGTTTCGTTTTATTTAATTATATAATAATTTTTGATAGAATCATTTATTTCATTCAATTATATTATAATTTTTATTATTATATTATAGATTAAGTTATTATTAAAAATTGTGCAATTATCCTTAGATCTTTTAATAGTAATATAAGTTCGACCTTTTGACCGTGAAACGTCTTTAAAATCAACATGCAGGTCAGAAAAGTGGACTGTAACGAAATAGGTTGCTATAGTAACCGTTGTTATTGTCTGAGAAATGATATGTTAACCATACTAATATTATAAATGTGAAAGTGAGTGTTTGTTTGTCTTTCTTTCACGTCGAAACGGAGTAACGGATTGGCGTAATTTTTTGTGTGGAGGTAGTTGGAGGACTGGAGAGTAACATAGGGTACTTTTTATCGCGGGAGATTACTTAATTCCCACGGGAAAACACGTTATAATAAAATCCAAAAAAATATTTACTATCAAAATTACTTGAAACTTGATATATATACTCATCAATAAAATTAAATAAATACGTGTCTTAGCATTTTTCAAAATTCATCCTATATGGGGGTAAAATAGGGGATGAAATTTTGTATGAATCTACCTTTTTAGAGATGTTTTTGTAGTTTTAGCGCGAGCGAAGCCGCGGGTTCTGCTAGTATGATATAATTTTCTTTGCTATTTTCAAAGATTACTATTTTTACTTATTTGTTTTCAAATATGCAAAATATTTATAACTGGCGGCTCTATATTAAAACTTAATTGTCATTCTCGCTCCTCTCTGTTCGATGTAACTCACGACTCGCACTATGATAGCGCCATGATTTAATAATGTTTATAAATTTTATTCCGATCAATCGATTTAAATTAAAATACGTGTAATTTGGACAAATAATTTATAGGAAATAATAACCAGGAAGTGTATAAAAATTAAATATATCGGCTTTAGCTCGTGTTGTAGATAGACGTTTCAAGTCAAACCAACGGTGGTATGCCTCGACTGTCGACAAATCCCCACCCGATATTTTTTCTTGAGTATTAGAGTCGTTTTCTTCTCAATTTGAACACTTGATATAAACGAAAGTATGTTTAAAATGAAATGGTTTTCGTTGAAGCGTGTTCAAAATAGATTACGTTAATAGTGTTTTAAATCGTCGAAAAAGTCCTAATAAGGTTTTAGGGAAAATTGGTTAGGAAAAATTGGGAAATTTGAGAGATATTTGAATAAATGTAAGTCAATTAAGATAATTAACATTTTCATAAGTCAAAGAGAAGAAATCAAGTATGTTAGGTCATTGAAAATTTTGGCAAGATGTTGTATAAAACTTTTTTTCACAATTATTTGTACATACATGGTACAAAAACATATTCAAATCGATTATTTTTAATATATTATAATATTATTTTTACTATGTTCTTTTGTATTGTATTAAAGTTTAAAATCAATGACCTAAATTAAAATTTTAAATGTATTATCTACTAAAAGCATATAATAAAATTACGAATTTAATGAAATGTAATAACATTTTACGTACAAATATTATTAGGTGCAAATTTTAATTTTCGTTTCAATTCCGTGTACTAATAACAATTTCGAAACAACGACAATATCTACGAAATTATCACTGTGTACTATTTATTCGTTAAAGTAACACGCTCTATGTATAAGTTTTTGAAATACAATTGTTTTGTTATAGGTAAATGTAAGTATTTTTAATTTGTAATGTAATAATGTACAGCAATTTTATATGGATACATAAAATTGCTAATGTATACATATAAAATTATTATTTACTCAAAATTTTTTATGTATACTATTTTTTAACCATTTATATGGTGACAGCTCATAGGTTTTATTCTTAGGATTTGAATAAATCGTATATTGCATAGAATAATGTAAGGTATTGACAATGGGTAAATGATCTTGGAAACGGTAAATTGCTATTGTCAATATTTATTTGATTCACACTCAATGATACGAATTTTTATTGCTTTACGTAATTGAAGCAATGGATATTATGACAAAGGCATATTTACACTCGCTTTAAAAATAAATATTATATGAAAAGAGTATTAATTCTTTTGATTCTCTTATTCGAAGATATAAAAGAATATTCGTGTGAAGATGCCTTTAGTGTAGATATCGTGATTGATTTAAATATTAATAATATCAATTGATCGTTTCAAAGATCTGTACGAGTAAGTTGTATTATAGAAAGAGACGAGCTTTTCGGAATGAGCTTATATTTTGGGTTTAATTGGTCTTTTTTAATTGGTGAAAAAATATTTCTAAGGAAAAATTGGACTTATAATATGTTTATAAATTATAAAATTACAATGCAAAATATTTTCGATGATCGTAGGACAGTTTGTTCATTACATCTATTGATGTGTAGCTTTAGTTTATAGTAAAAAGTATAAGTTAAGATAGTTATAAAATATTGAAATGAGTCTTAGTGACCTTTTAAGTCTTAAATTGACTAGTAGACTCAGACTTCAATTAATATTAACATATAACATTAAATCGAATTTAATTTTCACCTAATAGAGACGTGTCTCTGAATACGAATTTATTTTTAACATATGTATATGTGGCCATATTATGTATCTTTATCAGCTCGCTTTTAAATCAACATAAATATGTACATCATTTTTTATTTAAGCAATATATTTTAAAATTAAACTAAATTACATAAATGTCTAGGTTTTATTAGATTTATTGCCCAACAGGTTCTTTGATTAGTGCTTTCTTACTATACATCGAGTTTATTTCGCTCCAAATAACGACCAGTTGGTCAACAAGTTTGACGATTAGTAACTGAATACCTACAATGCAAATTAACAGCTTAGAGATTGACAATAGGTTATCTATGTATTTTTAGTTTCATCGATAAGCATAACTTAATAAGATTTATCACACTTTAGTGTTCGTAAAGCTTTAAAAGCTATTTACAGTTAACCGTTTGGTACCAACAAATTTTCGTTCGTTAGTTAGTTTGGAATTGTGATAAAATAAACTAAGTACTTTAACTGTAACTGTACCGTCTTCTGGGGTCCTTCATAAATATTAATATATAGTTTAAGAAATATAGCGGTCCTAAGTTGATACCTTGCGGCACTCCGCACGTTTTGAGATATCATAATATATTGTATATTATTTGGGACCAATTCAGAATTTATTTATTACTAGCGAATTACCCTTGAACAGACATGAAATTGAAATAGACATGAATAGTTATTGCGAGTTTACGTTAGAAGATACACTCACTCTTGATATTGTCAACTACAATTTTCTAGTACATAGTGTTGATGTATCTCTTAAGGTTTAGCCAGCGTTTGCCATATAAATTTCTATGGACTACTAGATAGTGCCAGTTATTGTGTTTTCCTAAATGTTGAGCCCGAGTCCGAATAATAAGTTATTACTACACAACATTTGGATAAAATTGGTTCAATACTTTTTGTTCAAAACGCGCACACAAACAATCTAACAGACAAAATTTTTAATAACTATTGTTTTAGGGTCTATATTCTGTACACAAACGTTCCTTTTAACTGCTTTATTACATGTATAATAAAATATATTATATGCCTACTAGATTTAATTGAATTTTAAGGTCGAAATGAAATTTGTTGGTGGCTTACGTGATATAATGTGTTATTATTTTCTCTCCTCGACGGCAAAGTGTGAAAAGTGAAAATTCAGCGGCTTTTCGTTTTAGGGAATGGGGTTCGATCTTAGACTATGACCATCTTGTTTAAGTGATAATTATTTATGTGTATGGTAAATTTAATTAAGATCTAAGCTAGATATTATTAGACGTGATAAATTTTTCTTAATCTCTTTTTTGTTTTTTGAGATTTTATTGAATTTGTTAAGGACTGAATGATTTTGATTTTCGTTTTGTTTTTTGTGTAGATAATAATAATTAATAATTTTTCGTTATTATTATTATTTGATTGTTTAAGACATTCTTGTACCTTAATTTGTTATAGTAATTAAAAAACTAGATTTTTAATTTTAAGTGTGCATATTTTTAATTAATTATAATTATTTACGTAGTTTATAATAGATTCAAAATTATATAGTGGGTGTAAAGGTAAAGGCTGCTAAGTAGTAATTATAGGCTTTTCTTACCATTTTAATTTTACTATTGTTCTTTTTATTTATTAAGTAAATACATCAATTGCGACTCGAGATTATGTGGAAAGATTGGATTATAAGAGAAAAAAAGGAATAATCTATACATATAATAAAACTGTAACTAAGCCGAATCTGTATATTAGATATTGTTTGGAAAATCTTATTAAAATAAACATTATTGTCCATACACAGACCGAATCTATAGTTTTTAGAATTTTTGTCTGTCTGTCTGTTACCGAATCACAAAATAACCACTGGAGGGATTTTGATGAATTTGGTATGGTGATAGCTGGTTATCCGGGTCAACATATAGGATACCTTTTACCGCGGGAAAAGTTCTCATTTCTGAAAAAAAATAAAAGAACTGCAATGTAAGAGTATACTAAT